TGTAACCTGGTGAAAAGACATCACGACAATACTTGTGATCCTACTGATCCAAATTGTAACCTGGTGAAGAGACATCACGATAGTACTTGTGATCATACTGATCCAAATTGTGACCTGGTGAAAAGACATCATGACAATACTTGTGATCCTACTGATCCAAATTGTAACCTGGTGAAAAGACATCACGACAATACTTGTGATCCTACTGATCCAAATTGTAACCTGGTGAAGAGACATCATGACAGTACTTGTGATTCTTCTGATTCAATTTGTTTGTGAGTAAGGGGTACACTTTCAGTTCAGATGCCAATAGACTGACTTGTACAGAAAATGTATAAACAATCAAGCTTATTTAAGTTTTTTATTTGCATGATTACCTATTACAGTATTTCTGGACTTTTTTTTAGTTAATATGTTTCGTTGGTCGTAGTTTTGTTCTGTATAACTCATGAACTACTATTTGTTTGTTTTGTCTAAAAAGAATTTTGTTTATTCAATCATTCTTTGTATTGCACTAAATGTATTACTGAATGTACATAGTTTATATCTCCCAGAAATCTTTTAACATAATCATGAAAAATTTTTGAAGCTTATCACTAGATCTTTTATTCGTTGTATTTTTTTCTTTATTAATTCCAAAATTTTGTTTTCATTGCATTTTTTTTTTTTTATCAATCAATTAAATAAAAAAAATTATTTCATTCATTCATTGAGATTTAATCAAGAAGTGCAATAAAATTTAAAATACCTAACTACATATATTGTGCGAGCAACACAAGTAGGAATGGGTTCGGTCGTTTATGGGCATTTATCGGTTATAATAATTATAATCACTTTATTAAATTTTGAACTGATTTTCTTTTTGAGCTATTAATTAATATTTAGAATTAAATTCTACTCATACTATCCTATAAGTAGAGAGCAAGATATCTTTTCCAAAATTTAGAAATTTAAAATTTGTCACCGGTAACAACTGGTTAAAGCAGTTGGTTACTGACCGGTAACTGATGTACTAATATTGAAATTTTTGAAGTCCAGAGAAGGTATCTTGCTGTTTGTCTATAAAATATTATGAGCAAAATTTAATTCTGAGCAACTTTAATTAATAGTTTATAAAGAAAATATCATTTCAAAATTTAGGAAATTTAGTAAAATTGATTTTAAACAATTATAACCACAACCCTAACGAAAGATAGCTAGTTAATATAAATTTTAGTTTTGTTGCGCTAAAATTAAATACGTGCAGATAGATGTTTTTTACAAGCATTGTGCACGCTCATGCGTTAATACTAGCGTTGTTAATTAGATTCAAATACCAAAATAATTTAATTTACTAATACGTACAAATTAATCACTGATCAAATCATAAGAATATACATCTTATGTCGATTGACTAAAATTAACCCCATGAAATTAGATATTTTCGCACGCAGTAGCTGGTAATTTTAGGCAGATGTAATTCAGTTGCAACTTTAGGCAAGAGTTAACTTCAGTCACGACATTATTTCTCAAACGCCTTAATCAATGAGTCAAAAAGTGTCGGTGAATCTAGAGAAAAATATTTTAAGCGGATCAAGTGCATTTTTCATTGTGATGGATATTTAAATAATAATGTAGTTTTATAAAGTTTATTACAGAAACAAATATTTTTATTAGTCACTTCAGTTTACAACTTTTTACTGATAACCATCTTTTTTTAAATACTTATCTTGGCCAATTTACCATTAATTGAACATCCAAAAATATCACTTAATGAACTTTGTCATGGATCTAACGCTCATCATTAACGAATTATTACTTTATTCATTATATTAAAAAGTTTTTATGAAAAATAAAAAAAAATGCCAGAAAGCCCAAAAAAACAATTATAACTTCTTGCCAGCAATAAATTTATTATCCGCCTTGCAGGCATCTTTGCCTTCTTATCTTTATTAGAAATCAATAAAAATCCACATTGTACACATGAATACAGAGTTCTTTCTAGGACTGTTAATCGGTCCCAATCGGTACTAATCGGTCCTAATCGGTCCCAAGCAAATTGCAAGTTTTAAGATGATTTTTTTAAAAAGAATTTATTAATAAAACTTTTTCCCGGGACGTTTCAAGGTAGGTTACTTATTGGCGCTAAGCAATTATACTTCTCTGGGACTAGTCATTTATTAAATTACCTCAGGACCGATTAGGACCGATTGGGACCGATTAACAACCCTAGTTCTTTCCGAATAATTGTAAAACAAATTACTGCGAACATGACCCCAGTATTAGTTCTCCGTTGATCTTAGTCTTTAAGAGGTATACTAAGTTGTCATTTTTGTAGATCAACCTGCAACGAAGTAACATCCAAAGCTTCGTTTGTATTTTTGTACGCATTTAACATATCAGTCATTGAACGCAATGATAAAAAGCTAAAATTGTTATAATCAAAGTACGATAAACAGAAGTTTATATACGATTTACCTCTACGTCACTATTAAATTACCTAATTTTCCATACATGTATGTACATCGAAAAATTGCCTTTCCACATCTTTTTGAAACAACTGTAAACAGTCGAATTTCAGTATAGTCAAGGCATCACATAAGAATGGCTTTAGTGGTGTCTCTTATTTAGTGGGTTTTCTGTGTTTCTATTTAAGAAAAAAATATATACATTAAGAATGCAAAGAACAATTATATGGGATCTTTGCTAGGAAAATCACCTTCGACATTTTCCGATCGGACAAATTCAAACCAATATACCGGTATTTACTTGCATATAAATCATTTTTGCCTTTATTGATTCAAATGTTTATTCGATAAGCTATTGAATTAATAAGGGCAAAAAATGATTTACATGTAAATAAGAACCGTTATGTTGGTTTATAATGTTCCGAATTAGCCTGATCGAAAAATGTCGGAGGGTGATTTTCCTAGCAAAGATCCCATATGTTTTAATGAACTCCTTACTAATTTTTAATACATCTGAATATCTTTATTAATAATTTCGTCTTAAACCCTTTGTCTTCTTTTAAGCTGGGATGGTTCTATGAAAATTTCAATGTTATCTGACTTAAAACCTTTATTCTTTCCCTTAAAAGAAGATGACGATTCATTGCCATCTTTAATACTATCAAATTTGCGCCTTTCTGATTAGAAATCCCGCAAGCGCCTAAAGCAGCAGCAGCGTCTTCTGAATCTACACGTATCAGAAATCTTTCAGCATGAATAAGATTTTTTTAAGAGATTATGTAAGTTTCTAGGTTTATGTTGAAAAATCCTCAGCGTGGAATTTGTATCAACAGATGCA